AATGGATAAAAATAAAAACAAAAATAAAATATGTTTTTTAAAAAGAATCTTTTTAGAAATCAAAATAAGTTATACTTAAGAATAATATGGCTTTGAGCTTCTTATCATACCAAAGTATACATAGGAGTGAGAATTATTCCACCAAGTTGTATTTTATATATATTTTTATGGAAAAAATATTTATTCTTTTAAAGAACATAATATCGTGAATTTTTAAGTGAAATTACAGTATTTTATTATAATATTTGACCAATTGTCTTTTCATTTACCAAAATTTACTTTTTATTTATTTTTTGAATTGACTAAAATTATAGTAAAATATTATGTTTCACATAAAAGGCATAATGTTATTATAAACACTAAGTATTTATCATTTTAAATGACACGACACTATTTTTTTTAAAAAAATTTCCTATCCATGAACCTTTATAATCAATTCTTTTTCATGTAACTGAATACCCGCACCACGTCAATCTTAGCCAATAACAAGGCTTACCATTGACCACAACCACGAATAAATTGTTGGTACTATTGTAGCACCAAGTGCTCAGTACTATTTTTATTCATTTTACAAAAACACGGAAAAAATAATCCACGTTAATTTCTTACTTGGCATTGAATTTTTAATTTTTCATTGTTTTTTATTTTCAAAAAAGTTTTGGTTCTTTGTTACGTCTAACTCTTGCCACTCCTCTCATCTTTCTATGTTATCTTTCTGTCACTCATTCCAACTTCATTTGTTCTCTCTCTCTCATTTCTTTCTTCTTCTTTCTCTATTGTAACTCTCCCACACTTTGATATTCTACTTTAGAATATTGCAGCGGGGAACTCAAATTCTCAATTGAATGGAGGTTCAGGTGTGTAAAGTATCATAACTTTTTTTTCTTAGCATTAAAATTTATAGGCACATTCGACTATTATGGAAACATTCAAGCAAGTAAGTTGCTCTGTTTGCTCAACAGAGGTAAGTGTCTTTGATGAATGGCTTATCAGTTATTCAACATTCTCCCAAGTGAATATTGACTGATTCATATGTATCTATCGAGTATGGATTAAATTGTCATATATCATAGATACTTCCAAACATGTCTTTGAACTTGCTTGTTTGTTTTTTGCTTTATGGTTCCTGCTGCCAATTTTGAAAAGAGTTCCCAAAATGCATAAACATGTAAAGAATTAGAGATTCATTTAAAATCGTTCATTAGGGGGGAAAAAGTGTCAGCCTTTGTCTATTTTCATAAATGATCCCACTAATGAAAATTTTAAAATATATATTTTAAATTATTATTGCTTTTTGGGGAACCTCAATATTTATTGTTCTATTCTTTAATATTTTTCTTCTGCTCTCCTTTTTTTAATATTTAGTAATCTTTTTTGTTCTTTGAGTTGCAGTGTTTCATCCCTTTAGAATCAAGTAGCCCTTATATAATTCCATGCATTGTTGTGTTTTTATTAACTAGCTTCCAAGAAACAATTGATACAGTTGTTGAATGCAAAGGGAGTTGCGATATGGATATTCTATATTCTAAATCATTGTCCTTTACTGAAGTGAGTACTTCTAAAAGTGAACATGATGATGAACAAATACAGATGGCAATGATTATGACCAAAGAATAAGATGGATACGCTAAAAATTGAAATGATGTTTTTCATATGAAGATGAAGCTTATGTTGGATTTATGCTATTTTGCCAAAGCCTAATTAGGCTCAATGTATGAGAAGAACCCAAGAAGCTTAGAGCTAGGGTTTCTTGGTGTCCATATAAATAGTCTCACTTCAATCATTAGTCTCCAGGCCTATTGTTGACAAATCTCAGATCTAAAATCCCAGAGTGCCCTCACACTCATCCCCTCCCACTCGAGAACAGTCTGAAAGATTTGTCAGAAGCCATCTTCAGCAAGGAGATATGCTCATGTTGTGACGCTGAAGAGGTCAATTTGTGAAAGAAGAGATTATGTGGTAGCATAGGTGAGAAGGATCAAACCAACAATGAGGTTTGCTCGTGATGTGACGCTGAGGAGGCTAGTTCGTGAAGAGGGAGATCACGTGGTAGCAAGGCGAGAAAGATCACCACTCCTACACAAGGGAGTTTCCTCGCGGGTCTCCACTATAAGAGGTAAAACTCTATGAGACAAAGAACCATGATGATCTATTGCATTACAAAGCATAAAGGTCTTTACGCTTCTGTATATCCAATTGTGCCAACAACTTACAAGTTTTATAATTAATATGCTAAATTGACTGATTTTATTGTGAGAAAATCACAGTATCAAAGATTAGCAAATGGAACCATAAGCCAAAGAACATTTGTTTATGGAAGAGAATGATATAGAAAGTTGAAGGATCCTTCACACGTGAACAAAGTAAATAAGAGAGAAATAAGAACAAGTTGTCAAGTTATAATATGCTTTAAAATTGAGAAGGGTAATTGGATTGTTAATAAATTTATTACAAAGTGTTATTAACATTTCAAAAAATTACAAGCAAACATTTCATCTTTCTTTTACACAATAAAGTTGATTATGAAAATAGCATGACTAATATTTTTTTGGAGATATGTCATATCAAGAACAAATTATAGTCACTTTGGAGATATAGTCATTTTTTACACAATCTACTTAACAAACAAACAAAATATAATTTGTGCACCTTTCATTAGGGTAAAACATCTTAAACAAAGTGTTCTATTTGGTTGTGTTTTCTTATTAAATGAGACAACATAGTCATTCATTTGGCTATTTGAATCTTTTCTTGAAGCAATGGGTGGACTGCAACCTAAAATATTTTTTTACTAATTAGTGTCAAGCAATGGCCAATGCATTAAGAGAGTTGTTCATGAATCTCAACATCAACTTTACTTGTGGCATATTAGCCAAAATGCTGCTAAGCATCTTCCATATCTTTTGAGACAACCTTATTTTAAGGTTCTATTTAATAGATGTCTTTACAATTGTGAATATGAGTAAGAGTATGAAGAAGTATGGGCCCAGTTACTCATAAAAGTTTATATTTCAAAAAGCTCGTGGTTGAAAATATTTATGAGTTATGAGAAAATTGGTGCCCAGGATTTAGTGAGAATTAATTTTCAACTGGCATCTTAGAAGTGAGTATGAGTAATATTTTCCATACAATAACTTGTAAAACAATGTCTTTTACTCAGTTTGTGCTTCGCTATGAAAAAGTTTTGAAGTTCAGACATTGGTCATAGTTGCAAAAAGACTTTGAGTGCAATCAATATGCACCTCCTCGAGTAAAAAAACTTGCAGGTATAGCCAAACAAGCTTCATAGGTATATACTCATGTTATTTTTGAAAAATTCTATGAAAAACTATTTGATTCTTTATCTGTGGAAATTGAAAAAATCAATGAAAATGGTACTTTCTTTGGTTACAAGTTGGTTAAATATGGTGATGAATAACAATATTTTGTGACATTTGTACATGCAAATTGATTGGTTGAATATAGTTGTAAGAAGTTTGAATTAGTTGGTCTCTTATGTTTTCATGCATATATGATACTTAACTTTCACAATATTTTTCATATACCTTCTCAATATATCTTGAAGAGGTGGACAAAAGATGCTAAAGATGGTTTCAATGTGATTGATAGCATTCCACCCCAAGCTTGTGAGGTTTCAGCACAAAGAATTAATCTACATATAAGCCAAATAATAAGGAACACCAATTCTTTTGCAACCAAGGGGGCATTGACAAATGAATCAACCAAAATGGCTGAAGATTACCCAGAGCATGGGATAAAAATGTTGGAGAGGATGTTCAAAAATACTAGTCTAGTTGATACATTCACTAGCAAACCTACTCAAGTTGATGATATATATGACTAGTGATGAAAATAAATATAAGCATAGTAAATTAAATTCAAAAAGGGAATTATATCTGCGACGTGTTCGAGCAAGGAGAGTTACAAATGCTAGATTGAAAAGTCAACTAGAGAAGAAAAAATGTAAGAAATATATATCACAAGCTCGAAGCAAATCTCAAGGTGCTAGTACATCTAAACCTCTAAGGCATAATCATGTTGATAAAGCTAAAATGAATAATATAATTAGGATCATACTTTTTTAAATTTTATAGAATTATATGCTTATTGTTGTTTTTTGTTTTAGCAAGTACAATGCTAAAGATTTTAGCACATCTTCAACACCTCCACCAGCTTTTGGTTTTTCATTTATCTCTCAAGTGGAAAATGCTAATACTCTTCCAACAATGTTTTATTTTTCATATATCTCTCAAGTACCATATACATAAGTATTATTATATTATAATTTTTCTAAACATGTAACTTAGAGTACTTAATTTCCTATTTGCATGTCTCTTATTGAAGGAAGCTCTTGTAACTTGAATATTGATCATTCCATACCTTACATTCAAAAGATTTATCATTATTAAGAAATTACAGTTCAAAGAAATAAAGCAATATTGATAATACATTCTCTTGTAGTGCTTGTTACAAATGAGATGGCAATCCAAAAGGACTAAGGAGAAGAAAGTTAAATTTTTTTGAGAAATCGCTACTATAAAATGAATGTTATTTTTTTCACACAATTCATCATATCACAGGATTATTTACACTAGCAACTCCTAGTCATAAATTCTATTTCTTGCCAACAACAACTCTCCATTTGATCTAAAGAGACTTGGAAGCCTCAACAAAGTTGTTAGTCTTAGGTATAAGACCTTTAACAACACGTTTAGTAGTAAATCTCTCAGCCTACTTACCAAAGCAGGAGTCTTTACTTCAACCAGTAGATTCTTCCACGCACATGTTCTATGAAATTGAGTCATCCCAAAAAGCTCCCAAAAGAAATTAAAAAGAAATTATTGCGAATACAACAAGTACATCGGTCGTTCCAAGTAAAACAGACACTAAGAATTTTAGAAAGATTCTTCATAAAAAAAAAAAATAAAATTAGAAAGGTAGACATAATATAAACTAAAATTAAAAAAATGTTAAATGTCCATTTTTGGCAATAAAAAAACCCTAAAGAAAACCCCAAATCCTCACTGTACTGTAAGACACTGAACCAGTGTAGGTGCTCAACTCACCCTGCTTGCCTTCCAAAATCCACAACAATGGCGACCCAAATATTCTCTAGAACCATCCCCAAATCTCTAACCCTAGCTTCCCTCTTCTCTCGCTCTTTCTCATTCTCTGCTCCCACGCCCTCCCCTCTCTCTGCACTCTCTTTCCTTCGCCGTCTTCGCCCTCTCGCCGCCCTCCGCCACCACGTCTTCCCCCTCCCTTCTCCTTCCCTCCGAACATTCTCTACCCGAGGCACATCGTCCGCGCCCAACGAACCCAGCCCCAAACGTATCCCGAAAGAGAATATCATGCTCGACGGGTGCGATTTCGAGCACTGGCTCGTCATCATGAACAAGCCCGAAGGCGAACCCACCAGAGAAGAAATCATCGATGGCTACATCAAAACTCTCGCCAAGGTCGTCGGAAGGTTAAGTCTTAACCTTTCAGCATTTTTTGTTGAATTTGATTTTTTTTTTTTTTTTTTGTGTTAATATGTTCTTATAATTCTTGTAAGGAAAAATGAATTTTATTTTTATTTTTCATTTTTTTGGGGTGCTTGATTGTTTAGGGCAGTGTGATCGGTGTATTAGAGGTTTTCATCAACAAGTTATATTAAATGGTGAAACTAATGGGTCATACATAGCTTATATTGCATGTTTAAGACTACATTTTAAGTAATATATTTAGTTTTTCTTATGGTAAATTTTTATTATTATTTTATTGTAAGTTCTCAGAGATGTTTATGATTTACTTAGCTAAAGTAATCAGTATTTCACCACGGTCAGAATGATTAAAGACTCAAAGTAATAATGGATGCGCTTTTTTATTTTTTTATTTTCTAATCATTGATTACACGTTGTTCACTTCTTCTGTAGTGAAGAAGAAGCAAGGATGAAGATATATTCAGTTTCAACTAAACACTACTATGCATTTGGGGCGCTTATAACTGAAGAACTTTCGGAGAAAATTAAGGGTAAAGATAGTTCGAAACTTTTTGGCTTCTATTTCCCTTTGTGTAGTAGTGCCAACCATCACAGGTATTTTGTGGAATTGCAGACTTTGAAGAAGTTCAATGGGTCCTTCCTGATTCATACTTGAATGTTAAGGAAAAAGACTACGGAGGTGAGACCTTTGCTTTTATTCTCACCTTATTTTTATATCGTCTATGAAATGTGAATTTGTTTTCATATATATTCATTACATCCAAGGTTGTTCTTTTGTGCACGCAAGGTCACATATTCAAATTTAGGAAATAGTCTTTTTGCAAAAAAGTAAGGGTAAGGCTTCCAATAATCGAACTTCGTTCTCCTAAGTTTAGGAGCCTTATTATATTCAGTTCTATATCTGGGATATAACGATATTCCTTGGCTGTGTTTGTAAGCATTATTATTTTGTATTTAAACGAATTCCTGCGTGCATCTATTAAGTTATAAAACTTACCTGGTTTTGTTTCATAACAGGATTATAATATAATCTTTTGCCAGTTATTGTGTCATTTGGGCTGCTAAATTGCAATAACACCATGTTTTGTGGACTTTTTTTTTTCCCTCTCTAGGTGAGCCCTTCATAAATGGGCAAGCTGTTCCATATGATCCCAAGTTTCATGAAGAGTGGGTTAAAAACAATGCAAATGAAAATAACAGACGCGATAACAGGCCTCGCAATGCTGACAGGTCAAGAAACTTCGAGAGGAGGAGGGAAAATGTGGGTGGATCCCCTCCTCGAAGGGGCTATAGCAGCATGCCAACAAACAATTCCATGGATCGTATGCCGCAGAATAACTACGCTGGTATGACACACAACAAGATGGGAGGGTTTCAACCAAATGCAGGATGGCCAAGTAATGCTCCCAGCAGAGACCACTAGCCTCGGTACACACCAAACCGGGATATCAGGTTTGCAACCTGAGATATACCTGGCGAGATGCTGGTCTTGTGGCCATGTAGATAATAAAGAATTGTGTCCAAGACCACCTAGGAATTATGCCAAGTTTTTAGGAAAGTAGAATTTTAATTTTACTCCTCTCTCTAGTTTTCTACTGCTTCATGAACCTGCATGTTGTGTAACTGAAGCTCCCCACTTTTTAAGGTAAGGTAAGATCAGTTTATATTTTTAACAATTATTTGTTTTATGTCAAGAGAGTAAGTTTTGGAGCAGCGATAAAGTTACTTTTCGATCATGGGATCAAGTTTGGGAAACAATCTATTTGCAAAAATGTAAGTGTAAGGTTACATATTGGAGGTTTCTTTTGCCCTTCATTTGTTATATATGTCTGAGGTTGTGGGCGACAGGGCACACCCACAATAATAAGCGGAGTGAAATTGGTTAGAAATCAAAGTAAAAAATTGGTTTAAAAGATCCCACTTTGCTAGCCTGGACTGAAATTACTCTTCCATGGTTTCCATGGTTACAGTTTTATTTGAAGGTTCACCAGCTCCCTCTCAAATTGATCATCAAGCTAATGCTTCCAGCATTGGGTGGGAGGAAAAGGGAAGGAAGGGTTAATATTTTGCTTTAAAATTGAGAGATATAAAATATTTATAAAATTAAGTAATCGATTATTAGAAGGCTATATTGACACAGTTGTTATAAAATAAGGATAAAAATGTAGAGTAAAAGATGAAGACATATAGAGAAAAGAGAAGAAGGCATTTGAAATATAGATTCTAAAAGTTTAGCTCTAATCTTTGTTTTTTATTTTTTGTCTTCATAATATGGGTTTTATAATTCGGGCTCGCTTTTTGTCATGTGACATGATTAGAGCACTTTTCTGCACACACAAATTAAGTGTGGGTCCCACGCTTAAAAAAAAAAAGTCAGACCAAAATCAGGATACGACGCCGTATCCTTAAGATACGGACGCGGATCCTTGTTGCAGGAATGAACAGTGTCATTCCTGCAACATGATTCTTATATTTCCCTTATAATTCTCATTCAACATGAGAATTGGAATTTTTCAACACACCTTTCAATTTCCATGTTGGTATAGGTCCTACATATGATTTTTTCTAACATATGGGTCCCACATGTTTTTTATTTCTACAACATAAGATTTCAATTCTCATTCAACATGAGAATTATAAAACCCTCGTAATATACATCTCTCAACAGAAGAATAGGTTACACCATATACATAATAGGTAGGTTAATGCACCATTATTTAGGAATACAAAAGGTTGTAACCATAAAGCATACAACACACCTAATAATTCCTAAGTTGTAACCACAAAGCAACTAAGGTAGTCATATATTCATAATTAATTTGCTTCTCCTAACATCAACGAACATTACTCAAGCGATATAAACCAATCTTCTATACAAGCTTCTCAAAAGATTAAGTAGCTAATGACTTTGTGAACAAATCTGCAAGATTTTCATTTGAGAATCTAATTGATATTTATCTCACCATCCTTTTGAAGATCATGTGTGGAAAAAAGATTTTGCGAATTGTGGTTAGTTTTGTCTTCTTTGATGTAACATTCTCTTATTTGAGCATTACATTCAACATTATCTTTGTAAAATAATATTGGTTTTCCCTTTATCATTTGCAGGCTACATGCTTCATATATAAGTTGAATCATTGATCTTATCCATACATATTCTCGACAAACTTTATATAGTGCAATTAATTCTGTATGGTTTGCAGATATTGTTGTCAGAGACTATTTTGTTGATCTCCAGAAAATTGCAGCACCGCAATATGTGAATACATATCCTGTTTGTGACTATAGTTTATGTGAGTCTGATAATACCTAACATATGCATGCTCAATTAACTCAGACTTTGAATTATTTAGATAAAATAATCTCATATCATGTGTTCCCTATAATAGCCCTCACTAGTAGTTATGGATTTAATATTGAAGAATAAATATAAAGAAAAATAAATAAAGTCACTTTTGGTGAAAAATGAGTTAAAATGACAGTAAAGTAGTAAAAATGCGGGTAAATAAAGTTATCCAAAAAGTGAAAGTAAATATAAAAAAATGACTAGAAAAATATTCTAGTCCATAGGGTAAAATTTGATAATGAATGGAGGTGTATAGATAGATAAGCTTATACCCACTGATAAAATAAACTCATTAAGTGACTCAATTAAGTCACTATTCTCCTTCTTCTACGTTTCATCCGACGACAGTAAGGGAAAGAAAAAAAATGGAGATTTTGGTTTTAAATCTTCCGAAATTCATAACTTGAGCTAGAGACCTCCAAATCACTCCGTTCCAAAGCCAAACCTGTGAGAAATTCCGAGAGGAATCTATTGGTACCAGTATTTCTGGGTGGGGTTCACTGTAGAGAGAGATCTTCTCCCCCAAAGATTTCGAATTTCATGGAAAAGATGGATTTTGATGGAGCTTAAGGCCATGGGAGCTTAGGAACTCATCTCTCCTTTGTTCTAGAATGCATTGTGGTAAGAAATTCCCTTCCTTTTCATGTTTTTATGAAGATTGAATTTAGGTTTTCATTTTGAAAATTTGGTTTGATTGAGCATGTTAGAGCTTGATTCAGGTTTAGCTCATGTTGAGAAAAGTGTTTAGATTAACGGTGAAAATGTATTTGAAAAATTAAAGATAACGTATTTTTGAATAGTGTCGCATACGTGAATAGTGACGTATACATGAATAGTGCTGTAGAGAGGAACAGTACCGTATATATATGAATTAATGAATCTTGGATTAAAGGTGTGTGATAAGCTTGAATTTGATGGACTAAAGCATTGGAATCATGAAGTTGGCATGATTTCCTGTATGTGCCTCTTAGCCATTTTCAAAGGAAGTATGTGCTATGAGTTACTGTTTTACAAAGCGAGCATAATTTTATGCGTGGAATAATATTCTAAGGTGTATGGACCTTTGCTTTGGTGAAATAAAAAAGAAAATAAGGTAGCTCCTTTGTATGGCCTTAAAATGAGTTTTGGCCATTTTCAAAGGAGGTATATGTTCGGAGATATTGTTTCGCAAAGTGAGAACACTTGTATGCGTAAAATAATTTATATAGGTGGCTAAGCTTGGGTTTAGGCACTAGACAAAGAGAAATCTTATAGCTCCTTTGTAATGGACATTCTGCCTTAAATTGGAAAAAATAGGCTTTTAGGTGGTAAGAGGAGTAATGAGTGTTCTAAAGGCCTTTTGGGACTATCCTAAAACTAAGTGAATATGTGGAATTTTGTAGGGATTTGTTGAACAAAGAACCACCCACTCATGACTTAATATGATTAAGTAAAAAGAAAATAAACAATAAAGTGTGTGTCTCTTGTATATTTACATGGCATTATATCATTTTATAGAGTTTTGTGTTGAATTTCTTCTCTAGGTGTGCCTAGAGACTGTGAACGTTTGGATTCTCGTGGAGCAAGATAAGTAGCTTGTTCTTCAAGTAAGCAAATTGTAAAGCTCCAAGAGGTAAGCTCTATGTTTATGGGGTTCGCTCCTACTTTGTGTTCCGCCATAGTGTACGGATTGTGGTCAGGTTGTATGATATGTATGAGATATATGATATAGATGCATTCATATAGAGCTATATGATAATATGATATGTTTTGTTTTGATGTGTTTACTTTGATATGTGTTAATATGATATGTTTTGTTGAGTTCCGCTTGGGGTCCACCCTTGGGTAGGGGTGGCAATACGTGTCAACCCGACACGACCCGCGATCGACACGAACAAAACTTGACACGACACGGACATGACACGTTTTGTAAACGGGTCAAAAAACATGAACCCAGACACGACCCACTGCGGGTCACGGGTCGACACGACACAACCCGCAAAATTCGAAATTTTTTTAAAAAAAAAAAAGATTTTTTGAAATTAAATACAATAAAAAAATCAAGAAAAAAACAGCTTCTGATTTATGAGATTTTTTGTTCCTTGTATGTAAATGACACAAAAATTCTCATAACTATATTCTCTTATTATCTATTCATTGTGACACAAATATGCACCTAAAGTAAATAATAATAATAATAATAATAATAACAATAACAATAATAATAAACTAAAATCAAATAAGAAAAAACATGATGAGTTCAATTTCATGAATTGTCATCTACCTAAAAAAACATCAGCATAAAACAAGTTCATGACTAGTGCAAAGTACAAACTCATCAAAATAAAATTATACAATAAATATTCTAAATTAAACACAAATTCCATTAAACACTAGTTTATAAACCAAGTTCATTTTAGGGTTCCTCCACCATCAAGTCCTTCATCAAGTCCTCAGTTAAATCTTCCACACGTACAATTTCACCATCTATTATAAAACAAGTAATAAAAATAATTAGAGCAAAAAATTATATAGCCAAAGATATCATCACAACCATAAATAAGATAAAAATATTACCAATTGCTCCATAGAGCCAATCTCTAGTGCAAATTAAAGCCTCCACTGCATCATGTGAGAGAGAACTTCTATATTGGTCTAGAACTTTTCCCCCAACACTAAAAGAACTTTCAGAAGCAACACTAGAGATGGGTATGGCAAAGATATCTCTGGCCATTGAAGCCACTTGTGGATACCTGTATTGATTACCCTTCCAATATGCTAATACATCTAATTTGAGCTTTGCATCAACCCTTGGCTCCTCTAGGTATAGCTCAAGTTGTGACTTTAGGGGCCCAGTAACAACATTAGAAGACATGAATTCCTAATAAAATTAAACAAAAAAACAAACACAAATTAAGCTAAGTTAAAGTAAAAAGAGAAAAGAAATAAAGCAACAAATAAAATAGAAGGTGATATAATAATACGTCAACTTACACTTAAGACATCATCATCATCAACCTCTGAGAATGAAGCTAAGCTAGGATCAGTGGTTGCACTTGCACCTCCTGTGTGTTGTGTTGAGGAAGATATTGAAGAAGGGTCAGGTCCATGCTTTGCATGCTCATTAAACAACTTGAACAACTGGCTATGGCCAAGACCGTACTATATTGGGACCAATACTTGTTGAATTTATTGAACATCTTTGTAGCCATCTCCCTAATATAATCATCAGCACTATGCAAAGCATTGTGTAATGTCATGTGTGCTTTAAATACCAAGGGAAAATACAAATTAGTCGTTGCATACTTAGTGCCAGAGAATATACAAGTAATTTCATAAAAAACCTAAAGAAACCTGTTAATCTTTTCAATCCTTTCTCGTTCTTCTATAGATGGACAATGCTTATAGTTAGAATCAGTCAATCTAAGATGAACAAA